AGGACTGTAAGCTAACAGCACTGGAAGTAGATACCCTGTAAAACTAGCCACAGAGCGGAGCCAACCGGGAGGGACCAAGTCCCTCCGTCCAGAACTGTGAGCACTCACTAGGAAGGCGGCGGGGAGGGAAGGCTCCCAGGGTGGACGAAATGCCCTTTCCCAAGGGCCTGATGGCTGTCCCCACTCTGCTCCATCCGGCCTGGCTCAGGGCAGGCGGTAGCCTGGCAGGAGACGGGGGCTCTCCTCCCAGGGCTGCCTGATGTGCCAGGTTAGGGCACCGGAGAATCAGAGTGGTCCCTGAGGAGGAGTATCTCAGCATCAGGCCCCGGTCAGCCCTAAGCCAAGGCCACAGCAGACCCGGTCGAAAGACTCCAAGAACAGAACCCCATTCATGTTGAAAGGTAGCACATTTAAAGAATCCATTTCTTTAATAGTTTGGATAAATAACTCAGAATCTGAGCCTAAAGGCCATGTAGTCTACTTATGCTTGTACTTGACACAGAATTGTCATCCACCTATTTCCTAAACTCTCTCTGGAAACAGGTGTGTTAGGCACTGCGGAGGGTACTTGTTGGGATGAGCACTGGGTGTTGTATGTAAGAGATGAACCATGGGAATCTACCCCCTAAACCAAGAGCACACAGTATACACTGTATGTTAGCCAACCTGACCATAAATTATACTAAAAAAAGAATGAGGAGCCTTCTGTGGCACAGAATGCTGTGTCCCGCAGCTTCCACAATGGTGACTTGTGTGTTCTCCGAGCCACAGGGAATGACATGGACCCACCCTACACAGTAGAGTCCCTCAACCTTACAAACACTGCTCCCTCCACGCCACAAAATACTGCAGAAGGGTACTTGGAATATAACCTAGACTTCTAAGTCGAGTGGGGCAACTTGGCTCCGTCACTTGATGACCGGTATCCGTTAATGCCGTTATCTGGGGCAGATGTCAGGAAGGAAACCATGACAAGGCATGACTTAGGTTCTGAAATGATTTGGGAAGCCTGGCGACTGGGAATCTCCCTCTCCATACTAGGGACCCCATGCTTCTAGCTGGTGAATTCCAGGCACTGGGTGGGACCTGCCAACCGCAACCTCTGGCCTGACCTTAGCATGTGAACCTGGCTTCCCTTCTTCCCAGAATGCCTCTGCTCCTGCTCAGCCCAGCCGCAGTCCAAGAGAGGAGCCCAGAGCATCTTGAATGTGCTCCCACATTTCCTTCACCACACTTTGTGCGTTTGTTGTGTACAGGACATGATGCCAGACTCCGGGAGAGAAAAAGAGAGAGCTGGTCACACAGAGTGTCAGTTCTGCCTTCCTGGACACCCACCATGTGATCCTCTCAGTCTGGTCACCATTACATTTAGACGGTCTTCTGCTGCGTGCCAGGTGACGTCAACTTGGGCTGCTGTTCCTCTCCGTACCCAACTTACCCTCTGGGGAGCAGGGCCTGGAGTGTTTCAGAAGAGCCGAGGAGAAGCATCAGATCCAACCAGACCAGGTATTACTCTAATTCTTACATCAGTTCAACAGTCAGCAGCTCCAAGAGCCTTCAAAATGCTCCCAGCCACAACTCAGGGGTTAAGAAGTCCCCTAGCAACTCCTTCCAGAATGTTTCTGCTTGTACTTCTCTCCATCACGAGGCGGTCAGGATCAGTAAGCAGTCCCGGCCCCAGGCCGCTACAGCTACCAGAGTCCCCTTCACCTTGACCGCGGGCACCAACCCCTCTCTGCTCATCTGAACCTCAATGCTTCTATGAGGACCCACAACCTGTGGGCAGATAGCAGGCATAGTCCCTTGTGGCTCCCCACCCCTGCAGCAATCCTCACGCCTGCAGGCGGCCCCACACCAGCGCCTACCACACAGGGCTTTGTCAGCGGTGGTGGGAGGTGAAGGGGCCAGAATCTCTGTGGAAGGGACTCTGCTGGCACCCAGTAGGGCCTAAATAAAGGTCACTCACTGCCCTACCTGCAGGTCTCTGTGGCCTGGGCAGGGTCTGTCCCTTTTTTTCTGAGAGGAGCCCAGTGGGCTGAACTAGTAAGAAAATGGGCCAAAGACTAAGGGGAAGCCTTTAATACAAACCTAATAGGTTTGATCATGAGGACATTCTCCAATTCTCAACACTCTGCTTCCATACACATACACTTTAATTCTAAAAAGTCTGTGCAAATTTTCAGATGTATTAGAATCTTTTCTTTAAACAAAAAGTGTTTCCTTAAAGTAAAAATTGTCACCCAGTTACAACCTGCATCCTATTTTACAGAATACCAGTTAATGGAAATTTTTGTTTTCAGAAACTGGAAAATAAAATTTATTTAATGCTGAAGAGGATTTTTTGGAGGTGCCTGGGTGGCTCAGTCGGTTGAGCCTCCGATTTTGGCTCAGGTCATGATCTCACAGTTTGTGGGTTCGAGCCCCGTGTTGGGCTCTGTGCTGACAGCTCAGAGCCTGGAGCCTTCTTCGGATTCTGTGTCTCCCTCTCTCTCTCTCTGCCTCTCCCCTGCTTGCACTCTGTTTTTCTCTGTCTCTCAAAAATAAAGAAAATGTTAAAAAAAAAAAAAAGAGGATAAAAAAATTTTTTTAATTTATTTATTCAGTCCTTGAGAGAATGGGTAGCTCAGTCAGTTGAGAATCCAACCGTTGGCTTCAGCTCAGGCCATGATTTCATGGTTCATGGGTTCAAGCCCTGCATAGGGCTCTGCGCTAACAGAGCGGAGCCTGCTTGGGATTCTCTTCTCTCCCTCTCTCCTGCCCCTCCCCTGCCTATGCACTCTCTCTCTCTCAACAATAAAAAAATAAACATTTTAAATTACTCCTCTCTCTCTTTGTTACTGTTCTCCTTAATTGCTCTGCTTGATTTTGCTTTTACACAAAAGCTGGGACATCGCACAAAAATTAATGCTGCCTGACAGGACCCCACTGACCAAACTCCATGCGTTAATTTACGTACCTCTCTTCTCCTCTCCAATGTCTTTCTTTCTTGTTTTATCTAATGAGTACTCAACCTGACAGGCCTTCCTCAGTCCAGCCTTTATCCTGCGTGCCTGTCCTCCCCGGAGGCCCTGCAACACTGGAAAAGAATGGGGGTCTGCTCCTCAGTTTCACCCCAGTCCCTGCCAGCCTTCCCCTGCTTGGTGCTCAGAGCTCGACACTGTCTTGTCACTGAGTCACACGCTGCTGAATGGTACCTGTCGGCATGTCTGTTCTAGCGCCCAGGTGGATGGTAAACACTTGCAGGGCGGAAAGCAGACCGTGCGTCAAACTCCTTTCATGTCCCACTCAGCACACAGCACTGCTCTGCACCCAGCATAAGCTCTGGCTCCAGCTGGGTAAGCCCATGTCCAAGGCCAACCAAATGCCTCTCAGGCAGCCCCTTAACTTGGATGTGCTGAGAGTGCTTCAGGTGCAGCTGCCTTCAGAATCCCTCTAATATCCCTGCATGACAGGGACCATGTGTCATTTACTCCTGGGTCCTCGGTCCAGCCCACAGCTAGTACTCAGGGAACACCTGCTGAAGGGAGAGATGGTCTTCAGGACCCAGGCTACTTGGTGGTTTTCCTTTCCACTGGAACTCCCCAACTCCTGGCCATCTGGAAGGTGGGAGGATACCCCATGACTATGCCTGCCCAGAGACAAACTGAATACTTACTTTCCACAATGAATTTGGTGACTTCCTGCCAAGGTGAACGACTTAGTGCTAATAGATCACAGAATCAGGCCCAACACAATCTTTTCTTACCAACCACCATTCTCCAATCACTCGGGCCTGCAGCCTTTGCAACAACTCTGATCAGCCTCTGCCCATCATGGCTCATTAAAAACTAGGTACCCAAGTGCCGCTTACTGCCTCTTGATCTCCTTTAAGTCATCTTTTCCCACTTTTCCCTTCAAGCCTCGGCCCCCACCCAAGTGCAAGACCTCACACGATGCCCCATCTCCTGGCACCTGGCCTTCAGTTCCCTTCCTCCACACGCCCCACCTGTTACCATCAGGCTTATTAAGTACTGTCTTCAACGGTTCCGCCCTCTGCTCAAATAACTTTGCACGTTTAAAGTAATCAAGTCTGTACTCCTGTGTTCTATGGACCCATATTCATGCTCATATTCCAAGAACTATGACTAGCCTTCCTGCCTCTCTCCTTCCAGGAACAGGTACCATTCTCTGCGATCTCAAAATCTTGGCAACGGTCTCACTTGTTTATCAAAATCCCACCGATGCTCCAGAGCTCAGGGCCAGCACGATTTCTCATATAAGCTTTCCCCAGGATCCACCCCACGGGTCTCTCTTCCCCCTCCCTTAAGTCTCTAGCTGTCATACACTGACTTCCTGTTGACTCATAAGCATCCTTTTCTATGGTGTAAGTCAGAACATCTGATGAGGAAGGCCAGGCTCTTATTAGCCATGTAATCCTGCGCAAACCATGAAGAATTCTGGCCTCGCTCTAATACCTGCCAAGTGCACTTCTCTCCCATCAGTCACAACAACCCTCCAGAGCTGAAGTCTCGGTAAGGAGATCAACGAAACGTCAGGTAATGAAGAGAGCACACACTTTCCGTGGAGGACTTTTCTGTACATCCTCTATTCAGCCACTCAGGAACTTCTCTGCTACAAAATTTTAGGTAACTGCACAAATGTCCGGGTAAGGGCAGGGGACCGGAGACCGTTCGACAAATCTGATGGCAAGGGCGCCGGTCCTAAGTGTGGGACACGAACGCTAAGCCGTTGTCGGGACCGGTGGGGAGCAGAGAGAACGGAGCAGTAGGGATGCAAGGAGGATCCACAGGGGTATAAATGAACCACGTGCGCCAAGAATACTTTAGACCATAAAACCCGGCCTACCTTTCTTCCCAACGTTCACACCCATCGCAGCCGCCAGGACAGCGAGGGGCGCGCAGTAAAATCACCCCCCACCAGACGCCGGCACCTCGGAGAGCGCCGGCCCAGGCCGACCCGCCCCTTCGCGCCCCTCCCCGCCCCTCTGGCCCGGGCCTTACCGATCGAGATTTCCTGCGCGAAGGCCAGCGAAATGAGCAGCAGGGGCAGCCCCACCGCGATGCATGTGACCATTTTATCCACTGCCAGCTCCAGCCGCAGCCCCTTGAACTTGGGCTCCGAGGGCTCCTTCAGCAAGAAGTCCGAGAACACGTACTCGGTGGCCAGGTGGGCGATAGCCATGGCTGCGGCGCGCGGGTTCGGCCCCACTGGCGCTGGAGTGCAGGCCCGGGTACCGCCGACGTCTGGAGGACTGGGAGCGCTGCGCGCCTCCTTCCCCGTCACCTGCCGCGCTTGCGGCTTTCGCTTTCCCTTTGCCGGCTCCCAGGTTGCTCAGAAGACTCACCAGCCTTTGTTTCTCCAGGTGCCCGGCTCCCAGCGAGCCACAGCGCCGCCGCCGCCGCTCGCGCCGTGCGCCCGGCCGCCGGAGCTCTCGCGCTCGCTGGGGCGCAGGCCCGCCCCCCAGCGCTGGGCCCGGGCAGGACCCGGGTGCGCGCGCCGCCTGCGCTCCGCGCCTACCGGCGGCCTCAGGCGCGAGAACGTCTCTCGTCGTTCCCGCGACTCCTCCGCCCGGCTCCCGAGGCCGAAGCCGCCGTCCCGCCCGCCCTCGCGCTCGCGCTCTGCGCCGAGCTCTTCCGGAACTACCCGGGGAGGCCGACGAGCGGGGGGCGTGGAGTCGCCGGAAACCGCGGTGACGCGGGCGGGGTGGGCGCGGCAGCCCGCCGGCGCCCCCGGGATGCGCCTCCGCGCAGGGATCTTCCCCGGGAGCGGGGCCTCAGAACTGCTCGCCCCCTTGGCCTCGCCCTCCCCTCTTCCTGGACCGCGATTTTTGAAATCATTTCTGAAAGCGATCCCTCACCTTGGAGACAGGACGGTCCCTCTTTACGCCCCATTCCCAACGCTTCCACACGGCGGTATCCCGTTAAAAGGAGCTGCAAAGGCTTCAAAGCGCAACGGCTTGCGTAAAAGCCAGTGGAGCGGTGTGGAGAAGAGGGGACTCCGGACCCTTCCAGGGGCTGTGGCTAAGTGGGGGCGCGAGCTGCGTGGTGAGCCTGAGCCTCCCGCTTCAATGATTGCTGCGCGGTCCGCGCTTCTACTCCAGCCTTCCCAGTCGGAGCCTCGGGGTGGGAGCCACCCCGGCTGTCCGCGAGTGGGCGGGTGCGGCTGGGGACAGCTGCTTCTGAACCACTTACGGGACGTGGAGCGGGAGAAGCAGACAGCAGGACATGCTCTAGCGGGCATCGTTTGGGGCTGACCGCACCCTTGGGCACTACGGCTCCTCGGGCGGGACTGGGCTGCCTTCTCTGCTCCGTGTTCCTGGGCGGGCCCGTGCACGCGTCCTCCGTGTGCCCTCAGGTCCCTCCGGCAGGTCTGCACCCTGGCCTGCCCTCTGAGCACTCCCAACAGTTTGCACAGCTCTGCACTTGGATGGCTCACACGACTCCAGACTCCTCATGGCCAGGATTGCAGTCCCCACCCCCACCCCGCCTCTTCCCAATCAGGCAGAATGCATCCACCTGTAGCACCAAGCCAGAAACCTCGAGCACCATCTCTCACGCCTCCGTTTCTCCAGCTGCCATAACCAATTTCCAAGTTCACTTGGCGCCTCTCTAACTATAGAACATCTGGCGGGTTTTCTCCACCTGCATTGCCAGCACTGGGTTCCAGGCCACCGTCCTGTGTGCTATCTGCTTACCGCATACAGAAGTGTAGCCCCGAGGCGTGCGAGCCACTTGGCTCCCACAGCTGCCAAAGGGAACTTTTAAAAGCCCCCATCTGATCACGTCCCACCCCTGCTTAAAGTGTACTTTGTGTTGAGGATAAAATCCGTGTTTCTGAGCATGGTCACTGCCTGCCTCACCAGACTTCACGATTTGGCCTTCAGTTTTCCAAGTTGGCCAAGCCCTTGGCCTGCCTCCAAGGCTTTCCCTGCCCCAGACGCTGCCACTGTAGCCTCCTTGCTTGGCCATATGCACCCTCCTGACCTCAGCTGGAGGTCATTGCCTTAGGAAAGTTTTCCCTGACTAAACTGCACTAGATTAGGCCCTTTTAAGTTATATATTCTTGTTATACTGGCACTACTGGTAACTAGCTGTGGGCCTTGGAAAGTTAGTCCATCCTCCTATGCCTCAGTTTTCTCATCTGTAAAGTGGTTGTACTTCTTAGGATTGTGATAAGGACCAAATGAGTTAACACATGTAAAATGCAAAGAGCAGCGCCGGGCAACTGATGAATGCTATGTGAATATTCTCTGTTATTTGTGCCCTCTATTTTTCTTCTTTTTTTTAGTGCTTTATTTATTTTATTTATTTTAATATTTTATTTATTTCTAGGAGAGAGAGAGACAGCGTGAACAGGGGAGGGTCAGAGAGAGAGGGAGTCACAGACTGAAACAGGCTCCAGGCTCCGAGCTGGCAGTCAGCACGGAGCCCGACGCGGGGCTCGAACCCACGAACCGCGAGATCATGACCTAAGCGAAAGTCGGACGCTTAACCGACTAAGCCACCCAGGCGCCCCAATGTTTTATTTATTTTTGAGAGAAAGAGCATGAGCGGGGAGGAGCAGAGAGAGAGGGAGACACAGAATAGGAAGCAGGCTCCAGGCTCTGAGCTGTCAGCACAGAGCCCGAGTCAGAGCTCAAACCCACAAACAGCGAGATCATGACCTGGGCAAAAGTCAGATGCTTAATCAACTGAGCCCCCCCCCCCCCCCCCCCGCCTCATTTTTCCTTCTTAATGATAATCACAATTACCGTTTAACAGTATTGGTTTAACTATTTATTGGTTTACTGTTTGTCTCTGCTTTATTTATTTATTTATTTAGAAAGAGAGAGAGAGAGAGAGAGCAGGGGAGGGTGCAGAAGGAGACAAAGAAGAAGGGGGAGGGAGAGAATCCTGAGCAGGTTCCACGCTCAGCTTGGAGCCCAGTGCAGGGTTTGATCCCACAACCCTGGGGTCACTACTTGAGTAGAAATCAAGAGTCAGATACTCTCTGAGCCACCCAGGCATCCCCATGTCTCCCCTTTAGAAGGTAAGCTTCATGAAGGCAGATCCATGCGCACATGTACCACTCTTCTCTCCAACACTTAGCACAAGTGCCTGACACATTTGTGTTTTAATGAGTATTTATTAAAGAAATGTCTGAAGGAATGTGAAAATGTTTCACCTTGAAATTTGTTTAAAAACAAGTGGCCCACTTTTCACTCATTAGCGTATATCCTCAAGGCATATATTGGACCCCAGTGGTGGACCACTTATAAGCTGCACGGATGGAGAGGCAAAGATGAGGTCGATGCGTTCCGTTTCCTCAAAGATCTCACGGTTTAGTAAGGGGAGTAAAGCATGTGCACAATTAGCTGTAACAGAGGTTAGAAAGGGTAAGTGATGTTGTGAAAAGTGGAATGAGCTGCGGGGAGGACGGGCGCTGCCCAGCAAGGGGGGCCCCCAGAAGCATGAGTCCGTTTGTGGCGGCACAGCTGGGACAGGAGCAAGTGAAAACGAAGGTGCCATGTCCCTTCTCTCCTTGTCAGCGTCTACATATCGAGCAGGCCAGGACGTCCCCTCTTCCGGAAGCCTCCCAGGATCCCTCCCTTAGCACTTGCTTGTGCTCTAGCAGTTAGCTCATTTTGCCTCGTGTGATGGTTGATTGCCTGTCTGCTTTCTCATTGACGTCAAGTCCCTCTGAAGATCTGGATGACATTTCAGCATTTTTGTAAATTGCCTTGGCCCTTGCAGGTTTTTTAGTTTAGCAGGGCGTCCATACACATTTGTGGAACTCACAAGAGGGGCAAGAAAGATAACTTGTTATAGGACATGGGAAGTAGAGACCCTTGACCCTGGTACAAGGAAGACGAAGGTGAGGAAGTGAAGGATGAATAAGTTGGGCCAGAGAAGGTAGTCTGAACCTTTCTTTTCAATGGGCATTAGGGAGTTCTGGGAGGGGAGTAATATAAATAGAGTTAGGCGTTAAAAGGATTAATCTTCCAGCCACGTGTAAGAGCAGATCAGAATGCAGAGCAGGGGTGGGGAGGCCGGGGAGAAGCTGTTGCAGTTTTGCATATGAGCTGTAGCAAGAGTCCAAACTGGTGCCCTGTCATTGATAAAGGCAAATGACACAGAAGACAGTGATAGTGAAGGGGGCCAGATTTCTTATTCCAAACATCAGATCAGTCTGACTTGTGCCAAGTTTCTTCTGGAGGAGACCAGAAAATAAGAGCCTGGGATTGTCTCCTAGATTTGCCACTCACTTGCTGTGTGACCAAGAATATATCCCTGGAAATCTCTTAAGTCTCAGTTTCTTCACTTGTCAGATAGGGATCATACCACCTGCTTCATCCGATTGCTCTGAGGATTACATATGAAAATATTGGTAACAGTGCCTGCCATGTCAGGGCTCTGAGCATCTGGTGACTGTCATTACCAATCTCAGAAGTTTAAGGTGTCACATGAGAGTGTATACAACATTGCTTTAAAAAAAAATAGAGTTTAATTTTTAGAATAGCTTTAGATTTACAGAAAAATTGAACAGATAGTACAGAGAGTTCCTATATACCCGCACTCCTGCACCCATTTCCCCCTCTTATTAACATATTAGTATGCTGCATTAATTAGTGAAAATCCAGTTTATTCATACCTCCTTAAATTTTACCGAGAATACTTTTATATAGGATCCCATATAAGATACCACATTACGTTTAGTTGTCAAACATGTAACCTATAAACTATGATGAATTAATAGAATTCCCTTATTTTTGATAAAATTACTTTTTTTTTTTTTTTCTAATTATAAGGTACATTTAGGGATTGAATGACACTCTTCTTCCCATGTCCGCCCTGCCTCCACCCCTCCACAGTGGAAAACAGTGGAGATAGGAAATAACAAGGGCAGGGATCTGATTTAAAGGGGGTAGTCAGGGGAGCTCACAGATGAGCTAGGAGAGGTGGGGAGGGGCATGGAAGAGTATTCCAGGCATAGAAAGAAGCCTGTGCAAAGGTCCGGAGGCAGGGAATAACTAGCAGGGCACAAGACCTGATAAAAGATCAGGGAAGAGTTGGAGATGAAGTCGGAGAGGTGGGCATGGGCCAAATCAGGCTGGGCCTTAGACCAAGGTAAGGAGTTTGGATATAATTAGAAGTGACATGGAAAGACATTGAGGGTATTCATCAGGGAAGTGATGCAATCTGATCTGGAACAGCACCACTGCAGCTGGATGGAGCGGTTGAAAGGGACAGGAGTGACAGTAGAGAGGCTGGTTAGGAGACTGCTGCAGTGATCCTGTTTGCACAGGATTTATGGCCTGTGGCCTGACCGCATTTTTAATTTATTAGCATAAAGGTGGTCCTCAGATTCATGAAGAGAGAAAAACTAACGTCTGGAGAGGGTTATCACAAATTACCACAAACCTGATGGCTCACATTTATTCTCTAACAGTTCTGGAGCCCTTAAATCCAAAATCGTTCTCACTGGAACAAAAGATGCCTCCCCCCCACCCCCCAATAAAAAAGATGCCAGCAGGACCAAGCTCCCTCTGGAGGCTCTGGGGAGAATCTGTTCCCTTGCCTT